CCTCTCTTATGGAATCAACTTCCAGTTTCTGTAAGTGAAGCTGACACTCTGTCTGCTTTTAAGATTAGACTGAAGGCTTTCCTTTTTTGATAAATCCTATAGTTAGACTTTGGTTTCCAGAATTATTTTTCATTTCTGCTGCTATAGACAGACTGCTGGAGCACAAACTGAGCACATTTCCTCACTCTGCTGTTGTCTTTAGTCTCTTATTATTTCTATCACGTTTTTTCTTTGTCTCTTCCAGAGGAAGGTAGTCCTGGACCAGTTCTTCTGTGTTTGACTGTGTCCCTTTCCTGTCTCCCAACCAGCCGGTCGAGGCAGATGGCCGCCTGTCCTGAGCCTGGTTCTGCTGGAGGTTTCTTCCTGATTAGCGGGGAGTTTTCCTCTCCACCGTTTGCGGAGGATGGGAGACTGTGATGAAGTGATTCAACACAATCTGCTGGCTTCTTCTTTAGATTGTTCTTTTTTATGTACAGTGCCCTGAGACAACGTATGTTGTGACTTGGCGCTATATAAATAAACTGAACTGGAACTTGATTTCTTTGTATATATGGACCAATGGGTTGTTACCGACATCTGGTGAAATTTCATGTCATTAGCACCTCTAGTAATATATTTGAGAAAAATGGTGACGTGTTCAATACTTATTTTACCCGCTGTATATTGTAATATATTGTATTACATCTTCTCCTTTGTCGACGCTCAGAAATGAAGCGATCAGCATGCGCGAGTGCGTGACACTTCATAAAGAATCTATTACGAAGACAAGCATTACRCCATGCCTGATGACATTCACAGTGGGCAACATTAACAAAAATGATCACTTCAGTGGAGCAGTCACTGAGTTTCCAAGGCAACCTGAGCAAGTTTAACCAGAGGACATCACTGAGCAGCGACTGGAGGTGCTGAATAACAGCACTCGAGGGGCGACAAATAAAATAAAATAAAAATATAACTTCAAAAAATTTTAAAACTCTAAGTTGGCATACCGTCCCATCGATTTATCTCAACACAATCTTTGCATCGACATTTTCTTTTGRATGATGTATTATAAAACAAGAAAAATCCTTCAGATACTGCAGGAGAAGATTTAATATGAAGGTTTTTTTACTGATGCACTTCAACAACATCTTTATTTTTAGAGCTCACAGAAATCTGTATAATCTGTTATAATAGCAGAAAAACTTTCTCACTTCATCCTGTCAGAATAAATATCTGTAATTAGAAGACGTAAAGAACTAAAGACATAAATTACCTTAGTTCCTTTGGATCAAAGACCAGCTTGACATCATTGACTATAGTAGGAATATACTTTAGTGCAGCGCCCTGAAAGAAAAACAAGAAAAAAAAGRCAAGCTCACATATGGTCATGTTCACTTGGTCATTACATTCTGTAGTGGTCGTTAGATGGTGAAGTCAGTCATATTTGTGAACACTTTGGTTTTATTGTGTGCAGATGAAACTGTCTGATAAAGCCATGATGCTTCAGCATCTTTCTGTCTTTGTGCTTTACATTGAAAAGATTATAAAGTGGAAACTGTGGCTGGGGGTGAGCTCAGCATACTGCCACAGTATAGAATTTTTTTTACACAGCAAGGCCACATTTGGCCATTTTGTACTTTGTTTACAGAGTTACAACAGCGATACCAGAAGTGCAAAAACTTTTTATTTAGAAATTAAACAACTGAAGACTYGTCCATCCAAAGAAAACCCAGAGTCAGAGGAGAATGAAGACAACAAACCTGCAGAACCRTGTAAGCTGGATGTCTATGACTATGTTTACAAGTGTTGCAGCAAACACAGTGACGTAATAGTTCAGAAAACGTCATAGAAAATAAAGTGAAAAATACGACCCAAACTGAATATAAAAGGTACAGTATCTATTCGGCACTGTGAGAAACTAAATTAAACTAAACTAACCAAGTACACAACAAAGGAGAACRACTAAAAAAGTAGATTATGATTGATTAGTCCCCTTTAAGGACAAGTAGCTCTCTCACTTTAACCTACYATTCATTTAAAAAGGTAACGAGGCACAATTCTCACTCGCCAGATCCTCAAATTTAAACTTAGGTTCATCTAAAAAAATGACCAAATGCACTAAGAATGAGTCCTGTGAAAACTAATCTTGCCTCTTTATCTTTAAGTTAAAGCATTAAAATATTTTTTAAAAAAAAGGACCGCTTTTACAGTAAAAATACCTTTACGTGATTGAAGTAAATATGTGTATGTATAAATGATCAAAAGTTGCAGTTCAATAAACTCGTGAAGTATATAAATGCTGCGGCTGCTTCGAGAGAGTCAATTAATAATGGCAATGATTAACCAGGCTGACACTTCCTGCCCTAACTGACTGCTGCTAAATGCCAGCCAAAGGTGGGTTGGCATGTTTATACAGCAACTGTGCAAATTGGCCTCAGTGCCAGTCTGACTTATAGACATTGATTAACCATGCAGCTGCAGCTCACAGAATGTACTTATTATCGCGCCTGGTTTATATCAGAAACTTGTCAGAAATAATTGCCGACATTTAAGCAAAACTGCGACGAACGGAAAGCAGCGAGATGCTTCATCTCTGCTCGCATCAAGCAGGAACTAACTTTAGACGACAACTCTCCCCTCACCAAAATAATCCTCCCGAGATAGTCATGGCACCCGAACGGAATCCCACTTTAATCCACGCTAATCTCATTAGATAACTGAAGTGTTTTAATATGCACGATGTAACACCTTCATCCCTCACTGCGGGCGTAAAAGATGCGAGAAGCTTAAGACCTGGATTTTTAGATATCTATGTTTTTATTTAGTTACAAACTCAGTCTCTTTTYCTGAAAATGGAAAATCAAACGTTTCCATTTACCCCTTGAAAAACCCATTTTAGGAAAATGTCTCTWTTCATTCGGTTCCCAGCAGCAGCTAAACTCCCACCTGTTGTGCGGCAATGTTTTTTCTTSCAGCTAAAAGCTTCTATTTGTGTCTCGCAACCATCAGAAGCATCTGTTCGTAYGTGTTGATCCAAGTTCGTGTGAGCGTGCGTTTATCAAAGTTTTTGCACAACAGTCCAGATGTTCATCAAGATTTTTTTTCATATAGATATGGAGAAGTATAATGGGACTGCTCATTAGCTGCCACCTGCCACACAGCTCTCACATGAGGCGGCGGGGGTTGGGAAGAAACCAGGGTTCCKCCGTTACGCAGCCGTTCCTCAAGATCAGTTTTTAATTTACTGACAGTAAAGCTAATATCTCACCCAATTACACAGCAACTGACTCCTAATTGACTTCTGAGCTCCTCGTATGGTTGACTGTGCACAGGGATCTACTGTAGGTGTTGCAACGTGCATGCACCCTGTGATTATGTTATCTCTAAAAGCATAGGTATGCAGGACGGGAGCRTGTGCAGGCAAAGGAGAAAGGGAAAAAAACACATATTGGTGTGCTTATTTCCAATCTGAGGTCAGTGAGTTCAGGATACAAGACAGTAAGAATGTATTTAAGTGAAAAGAGAAAGACAGTGGAATAAATACCTTAAGAAGCAGCTAAAGAGCAGAGTGCCAGAGGAGACCCGTACATCACAACAGGCAGGGTCAGACGGAAACGTAGGAAGACGAACCAGAGGAACAAACAGAAATCAAGACACAACAAACAATAAATAAAGCTGAGGATGCAGGAAAAGTCTAAAAGTCTGCACAAAAACTAAAACTTCMTTCTACACTGGCAAGTTTAGCTCCTTTTAGAATAGTCTCACATATTTATTTATAYATTAAAGGAGACATATCATGCTTTTAAAGCTTTCGTTTTCACATTTAAATCTTTCAAATGGGGTCTAAATAAAGTGGAACTGTTCAAAATTCCTCCTTATTGTAACTCCACAAGCCCCTCTTTCACCCCTTTTCTGAGGTGTGTCTCAAATCAACTCGTTTTGAGGCTGTCTCTTTAAATCCAAACAAGGCACACCTCTCGCTTCAAGAGCGTTCCATTCCAGCTTGATAGAGGGGTTTACGACTATATAGCTGCGCAGAATCATTTTATTTACAAATGAATTAAAAGATATTAACAACAGAATATAAAGACAAAACTGGGAGAGACTAAATTAAWTTTTYCTGTACTCCTAGAGACTCCAAGTACACAACAAAATGCATTTAATGGCTATAAAAGGGGATTTTGGATGATATGTCGTCTTTAATATACAAGACTGCTTTGTAGAATGATAAACTTTACAAACTTAAGACACAGATGAGAAGGTCAATACTTTAGGAGCTGCAGTCAGAATTTGTTTTTGTCTTTTGGGGCAGCAGGAGCGGAGACTCTTCCAGTCTCCGGTCTTGCAGGAAGTGAGGAAGACAACATTTAGAGCGCAGTGTTTTTGTTAATGACTGAAGGAAATCGATGCTGYGCGGTCTGGTAAATCCTGGAGCAATTAAAAACAAAACAGCCATGTAAGCACAAACTATTTCCTATAGCTGGAGCTTAGTGTGCGGCACCGTGGTGCAGTGGGTAGAACGGTGGCCTCACAGCATCGGCTGTAGATTTAGAACCTGGAGTTCGTGTGTTCTTCCCTTTGCAAAAACACACGTTAGATRAAATGCTAACTTTAAATTGTCTTCAGGTGTGAGCAACAGTGTGAATAGTTGTTCGTCTCATTTATCTCTCTGTGGTGGATCAGACTCGAGTTACTCCGAGAGCCTCGCATTTATGGTCTGCATGCCAATAATATATTTTGCAGAATCAAATACTTTCTCTGACCTGGATGCCCACACCTGGTTTAGGCAAAAGCACACGGAGTGCTTTAGCATCTTGTTGAGAGTGTCGTGATGAATAAAAAGAAAGACGGGGGTAAAAAAAAGGTAGTGTGCAGATTTATCCCAACTGGTCTCATTATTGCAATTTTTAAAAACATCCAAATGTTTATTTTTATTTTATTTTTTTTGTCCAGTCCTGGTCTTGAAAATCCTCAGTTTGTGAATCTCAGCCTAATTGGTGCAAAAAAGTGACATATTATTGGGGAAAGCCAATTTTTGCCAAGTCAAGTTAAAGTATAGGAAATACTTTGACAGCTATAGAATAAATGTTGCCCCCCCCCCTACTTTTAGAAACAAACAAGTTATTTTATTACTGACAAAACAGATTTCACGGCTTCCTCGTCCTATATATGGGATAAATAGTCGATTCAATAAAAATGTGCTTGGTGAAACTTTTTGTTTGTTRCTGCCAGAACAAATAAAACACGAGCTCTCAGATTGGACCGACTCCAGGGATAAACAAGTAGTTTGTGCAAATTAAATATATATCCGAGACACATTTAACGAACTTCAGAAACCTTTGTGTTAACATTAAACTTTAGCTAAGTGTTTTCCTTTGTCTCCAGATTTAATGCTAAATCATTTTTGCAACAGACGTTTTAAAGTTTTGTTTTTGTGCAGCCTCAATAAGTTACTGTAAGAAGAAGAGTAAAGATGGGAAAACTTTAAACAGCAAAACATAGAAAAGATAATTGTAAAAGACAGAGATGATCAATAAGAAGAAACTCACATATCGACATCTAATAAGTTGCTATAGTAGTAAAAGGATTGGTGCATCTCCCCTCGCAGAGAATGTCATCCAAAGCTAATCACACCAGATTTATTTACTTTTCACACAGCAGCAGTTATTTACTATTCATGCCACAGTAGACATTTCCTGGCACAGAGTTTGAGCGATAGCACGCAGTTGGACTTGTGTGATAATAAGCCTACCTTCACCATGCCAGTGTTCTCTGAATTACTGTTCATCATGTCATTAAAAGATGTGAAAAGGTTCCTCAAGGACTCCATGAAGTCGGCCTCTCCTTTGTTCTCATAGAGCCTGGGAGGAGATGAAGTGGAGAGTTAGTCTGGCAGACGATCATGAGGCCGCTGTTTGTTTCATCCCTGCRCAAACAGCCCCACCTGCGCTGGAAATGACAAGAGTTTGATGTTTCCTCGTTAAATCATTAAACACAGAAAGCAGAAAGGCCCGTGTGTGTGTGTGTGTTATCCATGCAAATATTTTTGGATCAGAACCACAGACATCACTCTTGTCGCCAGCCGGATTAGCATTTAGAACAACATGACAAGACCCTGAAGCTCCTGCCTGTTGTAGTGTGGAAGTAAATATGTGGAAAATGAATGATCCGTGTTGTCGAATACCAGTAAACTGGCAAAAAAAAGTAAAAGTTTGTGTTTTACTTTCTCATCTGTTTAAGGTAGAGGATGACGTTTTTTCTAGGGATGCGCCGATAAATTGGCCGGCCAATTTATCAGGAACAATTTCCTTAACCTTGGGAGATCAGATCAGCCGATACCTGGATAAGATCAGTGGAAAAGACTGGCTTATCTACCTCCACAAAGTGCTGTGAGCACTACCTAATGTCCAGTTAAAATTTATATTGTTTCAAGGGTATTGTTCAAAATTTTTCAATAAAATAAGATTGGAACATCCATCCATCCATTATCTATACCCATTTCTTCCTTTCAGGGTCATGGGGTTCATTGGTGCTCATATCCAGCAGTCACCGTGTGAGGGTCGGGGTACACCTTGGACAGGCCGCAAGTCCATCGCAGTAACATTAGAACATTAAAGGTGTACTATGACCTTATAATACCTGACAGTGATAATTATTTAAAACATCGGTATCAGCCAAAATCGGAATCAACAGGTCAGATTTTTCAAAAAYCTGTGATCGGCTAGAAAACTGTAATCGGTGCACCCTTAGTCTTTTCTGCTAACCRAAGAGTGAAACTTCCTATTCAAATGAGAGACCAAATTATTTACAGGAGATTGATTTAATTCTCAGACTCAAATGTTTATTCACAGACATGCATAGTTACCACACATAACTCAGATGTCATGGAAGGCCCTATCATACTATTATGTTTTACTTGTGCCGACTTATGAAAAGTAGGTTTTGACTCATCTGCTCACAGGTTATATATTCGATCTAAGGGTCAGCATTACAGTATATACACGTCCAAAAGAGGCTTCCARGAGATTTGTTTTATTCCATCTTCARTRATGTCTTMAGTGTTGGACAGAATTTTTGTAAGATGGTATAGTGTGACATAGCCTGGACCTTGCCTTCCTACGCAGCTCCGCTCAATTCTAGTTTCGCTTCTCTGTTCCGTCTGGCATTTCTCCCATAGACAAGGATTTTGCTGGCAGATTTWTAGCCGGGCCAATCAGAGAACAGAACGTCGATTTTCTGCGCAGTGTCTGCTTGTAGTTTATTTTACCTGGACCAATCAACAAACAGAAGGAGGAGTTTTGAACAACGTTAATTTTCTGTGCAGTGTCTGCTAGTTAGTTAGCAATGGCAGTGGAGGAAGTGAATGAAGCCAGCCCGTGTTGATAAGGTTTCATAATTAAATTAAATTTGTCTGACAAAGCAGCAGCTCTCATTTACAGTCGTCTCATTTAGCTCAGTACTTCTCTCCTCTCAGTAGAGTTGTTTACAGCGCTCGCGATTTCCGGTTAGCTTCTTAGCTTAGCCTCCTTCACAGCAACACACACACACTTCAACAGAAGCCACGCCTCCAGCAAGAAATCACTTCTCAATAGCAGCGAGTCCAGACCCTCTGTTCGAAGCAAAGTGAAGGACAAGGGCCTGCTTTTTACCAGGCTAAGTGTGACAGGAAAGTAAACACTTCTAAAATGTAAAAAAAAAAATGTAGGTTTATAATGTTGGAGAGAGGCAAATACTACGCTAAATAAAGACTTGTTGATTTTCTTACTGTTTAAAGTGAATGACTGCAATCAATTAATCACAAAGTATAAAATATGAGACTATAGGTATCTAAAATTCATTTAATGAACCACAAAATTTCCAAATCAATCCTTTTCTGTTAATTTCCATCAGTATAAAAGGACAAAGTAGTGATGCAAGCATGGTCCCCCGAAAACTTGTTTTCTTCATAGTTTTGCAGAAAGCCAATAAATTTTCACTTTCTAGTTATTAGCTGGAAAAAGGCCACATCTTTTTCTTGTTCTAAAAAAACAGGGCTTATTGGGGGAGCTGAAAGGATTTGAAAACAAACACTCCATCACAGCAGGAGGCGGGTGAAATGGAGGCAAACTAGTGCGACTTTGGCGACTGCAACAGATTTCACTTGGCATCTTCYACGGAGGTGGGTTTTGTGATGCTATAATATCTCCCAGGGATGCAGGCATTACACGGTAAAGGATAGTCACTGTTGAGGGCTTACAGAAATCATGGGATTAGAGGCATCCGTCTCAAAGCTCCCACCACAACAATTACTTAAAGCTTCTGCTCACCCACATCACCGCGGAGCTCAGTGAGCTCTGGACAGTTTCATGTCACTGGGGGGAAACCGTGTGATTAAGGTGCTCCTCGACAATTTTACAGAAATGTTCCACTTGTGCACAATAAAAAGCTCTGCTGATGTCAGTTTGGCACCTTGGTGTCAGGCCTGCAATAAAGGCTTCAACAAACCCAATTTTCAACGTGAATTTCAGCACCAGTTCTGACGAAGGAGGAGTGTTGGAAGAGAGGGACGTTGCTTTAGTTTGATATGTGAGGTAGAGGACAAAATGTCCTTCAGACATTGGGCAGGAAACCAATCAAACTCTGCACACTCAATTAGACCAGGATCATACATCAGCCCATCAGCCAGCAGCAGCTTCTTTCCGTGACTCTACAGCATTCTCATCCATTTAACATCCCCAATGCCAATTATAAATGCATCAACAGAAAGTACCAAAAGGATCGTTCGCTTTTACCTGTTTCAACTTTGTTCCAGCTGACCCAATAAAGAAGCGGGAGATGAGTGTGTTTATGCTGATGGGCTCGTGAGTTTGGCGTACGATAATTACAAAAGTAGAAATGAATTTAACGTAACTAAAAATAGAAGTTGAATCAGTCCAACAGATAATTAAGTTTGTAATCATCCACATCTGAGCTTACTGAGACATCATGTGCTGTTAAAGATGACAATTCAATACCCACAAGAACCAGCTTGGGTTGCCAAGTTTCCTGTATTAGCTGGAATGTCCCGTATTTTCAGCCAAACTTAAGTGTCCTCTCAGCACCCTGAGCTGAAGGGGGTTCACGAGGGATGGTACAGAAGTGGCCAAATGCAACGACCGTATAAAACACTGAGGGCATTGAGTCATGCTCACGCTACCCCAAAAGTGAAAAGATCCCCATGAAAGCAACAGACTGTAGCTTCATTTGGCCCATTTACTGAACTTGAGCAGAAAATATAGGCTATTATTTCATTTTTATTATAAATTAATATTATAAATCTAAAAAGGTGCCACAAATATATTATCAAAAAAACTTTTGGCGACCCTATCACAAGCAAAAATGTTTACTGAAACACTAACTCTTAAAAGAATAATGTTATATTTACTAGTGGTGTAGGAAAATATCGATACACTGATATATATAGATATTTCATTTCCCAATACTGTATCGATTTTCTAAAGCCCTGTATCGATTTTTAATTAAGGTTTAAAATGTCAACTTTCCTGCCAGCCGTTCTTTTGATGTTGTAGTTCAGCCTCTGACCACTAGTTACCAGCAGTGAGCCAGCCATTTGGCTCCTCTACGCCTGAGGAGCCAGAGAGTAATGGTAGCATTAGCATTGTGAGTAAACATTAGCTTCATGCACCAATAGCTGACTCTGAGCAGAAAGGTCGACACCCTCTGCCTTCTAAGCTGTGGTAAGGTTACCAACCTTATTAGTCAGAATGTCTGTATTTTAAGCCAAATTGAAGTGTCTCGTCCGGGGCGCTCTTTTTCCGACTGTAGTCAGTCATGTTACGTAAGGCATGCAGGCATGCAGGCAGGCATGCGTCTAGCGCCTGGAGCTTAGGGGGTGTTGTGCGAAATCCAGTTTGCCTGTGAAAATCTGTTCCCCCTGTGTCTGGAGGGCACACTGCAGCCAGAGAGGAGGATCCGACCATTTTCACAGCACTTCTGATCAATTTCTCGTTAAAAGGACTCACACAATCTTAAGGTAACTTTCGGTTTAATCATCAGCTGCTGTTAAAAAAAAACCTCTAAAATGAATAAAAAAATAAAAACCTGGCTTTTTTTAAATCACAGAATGAGTCCTCATCAGTCCTTTTCCAACTTTTCTCATGTTCTCTTTAGCCTCACTATTTATTAGTCAGCCACTAAACACTGTCTTCCAACACATTGTGTGTATTTACAATTTTTTATTGCTGATACAAGAACCAAATATTTCAGTTGTTAAAAATAATCTGTTTCCTCTCTGTAACATGGGAACAAAATAATTTACCTCCAAGTCTTTAACTGTGTTAATTCCTCTCATCATAAACAACAAATCCTGAAGATTTGGGACAATTTGCTCTCTATTGGCCAAAGTTACCTGGATGGAACCAAATATTATTTAGGCTTGTAAGCTACAGTTTGCACTGTTTCAATTAAAGAAAACTATTTTTCTCACAGCATCTTTGATTAATTTTGTCCAGCTGTAGACTAGGTCTCTGTCCAATCAGAGCCAGGTATTGTACAATTGGTGCTTTTAATCAGTTTTCAGTTCAATTAATTCAATCCAAGTCTATGGAACAGTAACAAATATCACCAAAATCACTCTGTCCCTCTAAAGTCGTTCAGAAAATCCAATCGTATCGTTCGCTGATTATCGTGATATATATCGTATCATGAGCAGAATATCTAATATCGTATAGTATCGTGAGATTAGTGTATCGCTACAGCCCTAATATTTACCAGGTAATATAGTAAAACCTTAATTCTTATTTCTCATAAACTTATATAAATTGGTTAGACAGGACCAAATCACAGGTGGTCACATATGTTATTTTAATCCTTCAGATTAGAGTGAAGAGTAGCAAAGCCAAAATATTCTGTAAAAATCTTCAGCCCGTATTTCGCTGTGCAGCTTTAAAACAAAAAAACATGCAGATTACACCAAAATGTGCAACTCAACCAGTGCTATGTTGCACAACACAGATAAAACTTGCAAAAATATTAGAGAAAAAAACAACCATTAACAAAATATAGGCAAAACACAAACAGCCTCAACAGTAGACCAACTACTTAAAGAGTAATTGCACTCATCCTGAAAATCTTTATTCTAACAAATGTTAATGATGGCAATCCTGAATATGTTGTTACAACTCTGCAGTTTCTTATGAGTGTTTATGCAACAATACTCACTGGTTGAAGAGGACTCTGGAGCGCACAATGAACTTGAAGATGTATTCCAAAGCCTTCATGGCCTTCAGCAGCTGCTCCGTCAGCTTCTCTGCATTGTCCACGTAGTTCTTTAATACTTTGGTCAGTTTCCTACAAACATGAATGGTGTGCTCGTCACAAAAAACACCATGTAGTTGACTTTACCTGTCCATCGTCTGCCCATACAAAGGTAAATAAACTCACGTGTAAGCCAGTGTGGCGCTGAAATGTTTGCGGATGTAGGTTTCAAGGACGGGGTTAAAGTGCTGGAACTTTCTGTCGGCTATAAGTCCAATTATGAACACCTGTCAGTGAACAAAGGCATGCTCATTAAAATGTAAACCACAGGCCTGGTAATGAAGAGCACCAAACACTACCTGTCTTATTCAATCTATTGAAATAGATTGGGAAATTACACAAGATTGCATTTGAGCAGAAAGCTATTTTCTCTCAATTCTCTGGGCTGCAGATAATCTCGGACACCTGATGACACAATTCACACACCCCTCCCCCCCCTCATTCTGAAAAAGAAAACTGCTCTTTTGAGATGCAACCCCCCCGACGTTAGGCGCTGGCATGCTAGATGGGATTCAGCGTGATACTTTGTCGTGTAATTCAAAAGCTACATTTACAGACGACCAGTTGAACAGAGTTCTATCATCACTCCAGTTTGTTTGTCTTTTGATAAAATCTTCTTCTGGCCAGATCTTGGTGGAAAATTGGAACTTAATCTCAATTAACATATTATGTGGTACATAAATTAAAGACGTTTTTATGAAATTGACACAAACCATGTCACACTACAGCAGAACATATGAAGATGATTGTTGCAGAGATATAGATGAAGCAGCTAAAACAGGTAGCCTAATGCATACTAAATTTTATATTGATATTAATTTAACATTATAATCATTATTGCCTTTAGAAAAATATTGTGGGGAGGTGGGGTTGTGCACTACAGACCCCTGTGGATTGGCCTAATACACTCACCGGCCACTTTATTAGGTACACCTGTCCAACTGCTCGTTAACACTTAATTTCTAATCAGCCTATCACATGGCGGCAACTCAGTGCATTTAGGCATGTAGACATGGTCAAGACAATCTCCTGCAGTTCAAACCGAGCATCAGTATGGGGAAGAAAGGTGATT